GTGGTATTGTTGAACTTTACTATGAACAGTAGCATGAGAAATAGAGAAATCAGGAACATATTTTATTCTTTTTTAATGTCTCAACTCATTTTATCACCATTTAAGCCTTTATATCCTCAGGCCTTCGTAACTACATTCTCAGACCTTCATACATCTTAGACTTTCCTATCTTTACATAGATAAACCCTAAAATACCTGTTACTGGAATCTGTTTTGCTTTAAGCTGGCAAGACTATCAGTCGTCAAAAGCATCAGAGTTCTTGAGAAGGATAAGATTTTACCTGAATCAATGATTAAAGAATAACAGAGACTTGCCAGCAGGCTGCATGGACAGCCATGCCCCTTTACTCTCTCTCTCTCTCTCCCCCGTCTCTCTCTCTCTCTGTGTGCTCTCCCGTCTCTGTTTCCCCGCTCTGTCTCTCTATGGCGACCGGCCATGGTGGTCAGCCATTACCCTGTTCCTCTTCTTAGCCTCCCCATTCTACCGGGCCTTATAATAAACTTATAGTCTTATGTCTGTCTCAGAAATTTCTCTTTTCTTCTTTTTAAACAAAACAATAACAGCCTCTGGGGCTCTGCTTAGAAGATGTTTCTTGTATTAAGAGCTGACATTTAGGGATGGGGATGGACTAGAAGAGGGTGGCCTAAAGGGGTCTACAGGAGAAAGAGCAGGGTGTACCACCAGGATCTGTTTAGTCCCCCGGGGGGAGGGGGGAGTCTGCTACAGAGCTGGGCATTAGACTGGGGATTGGATTGGAGGAGAGGAGGGAGAGAGAAGATCTGAAGATGGTCTGCCTGCTTCCCTGGAGAGGCCAGCAGGTCTCCAGGGAATGCCTGAGGGACTTGGAGGGTGACACAAAGGGATGGAGTGGTAAGGAGAAGATACATATGATCTGCTGGAGGTGGGGGCAGAGAGGAAGGGGCGACCACAGAGGACGGTCTGCTATGGAGCTGGGGGGAGACTGGAAGGATGGATTTGGAGGGGGCAGGGTGAGGATCTGAAGGTCACCTACCTGCTTCCTTCTCCACTGGGTTTTGCATCAGGTAAACCAGGTTTGGGGAACCGACAGCTAACAAGCAACCAATAAACATTACTGAAGAATGTTATACAGAATCGTTGATAATTTTTATTAAATGCTTCATTGGTATAGGGGGATCATTTTACCTTGGTTTAAAATTTAGCCAATACAATTTAATCATCTCAAATGAAAATTAATATAAAATATTTTAACTGTTTTCCATGCTGGAATTCCTCTAAATTAAATTATAAAACAATTCACAGCACATCTCAATAGCAATAGTTCTTATCTTTAGCCCGTATTTGCACCTCTTTGAAATTTGCTTCTTTGTTTGTACAGGTATCTTAAAATAAAGCATGTTTGGTCTCATGTCAAGCATTGGATTTTGCTGGAGAATCTGAGACACATCAGAGACCATCTGTACGGCATCTGTAGTGCCCATGGCTTTCCTGGTGGGGCAAAAGGACTGGCTGAAGAAGCTGCATGCAGAGTCCATACTAACCACTAGTGATGCATCAAAACAGAGAATGTCTGTCAAACAAGCATGCAACATGATTTCTTTGGAAATATGCATTTCTCACAGCCCCAAATACTTCCCTGTACAACCAACTTAAGATAATATAAGCCCTTATCATAGCAACAAAAACATCTACCCTCCATATTGGTCAATGCCCTCCCCAAACATGTGTATAATTACTGTGCTGTTTGTTTGGTTTTTTTTTTACATTCATCAAGCACATGCTTGGTAAAAATACAATGGAAATAATACATTTTTACAAATACAAAAGGAGTAAAGAGAGCCTAAGGGATGATAACCAAGTCTAACCAAGTAATGATGATGTAACATTAAAGTGAAACAGGATAATGGAAAAAATATATATATGTAAAAGTCTTTTCAGTATTAAACTATGCCAACAAAATCCTAAAAGCCCCAAATCCCATTTTTGTTTGTTAAAATGATGCCCCGATTTTTAGAATGGGCTCTTTGTGGAGCAGACATGACTCTCAATACTGTTAAACATCAGAATCACCTAAAGTGCACGTAGGACATATTACATCGTGTTTGATCAGCTGTGATGCTAAACTGCTTAATTTTAACATGTTTATTTCCACTGTAACAGAAGGAAAATAAATTTTAAAAATGCTGTTTAATAATGGCACAGAAAAAAGTCATTTTGTAAATCAACAAAAGATAAAATATTCTTCAAAGACTTTTCACTTGATGGCAGATCACCTGATTACTTTGCAATGTGAAGCTGTCTTTCCTTCTTTCTTTCCTTCCTTCCTTCCTTCCTTCCTTCCTTCCTTTCTTTTTCTTTCGAGGCAGGGTTTCTCTGTGTGGCTCTGGCTGTTCTGGAACAAACTCTGTAGACCAGGTTAGCCTTGAACTTGGAGATCTGCCTGCCTCTGCCTTCCAAATGCTGGGATTGAAGGTGTGTGCCACCATGTCTGGCAAAACTCTGCTTCTTGAATGTGTAAAGTGATGTTGAAGCCTGGAAAGGGGAATTCCTAAGGTGCAGTGCAGTGGACCCAGAGAATACTCTCTCTAAACATTGCTTGGTAACAGTGCGGTTGTACAAAACAGATATTCTCAATGAAATAAATTATGCAACATTTGCTACTTTTAATTAAATAAAATTAAACTCCATTAAAAACTAATGCACTTTCTTATTGTTCTTTTTGTTTCTTCATAATGTATTATTTTCAGGGCAAAACAAATTTTACTCTTTTAACCTTTCTTAACCCTTGGAGTATAAATTGTCTGATGCTCTGAATAAAGTTGACTATTGCATGAGATGAACTCCACCTCATTTATTGGCACCATTCTCTCAGGTCCTGCTACCTCTATAGTGATAAACAAGTGTCACCCAAATAGAGACATAAAGCTGGCTACAAAGATAACAGAGTTGGAACCCTCAAAGAGGGAGGTGAGTGAGAATAAAGGGGCAGAGTCTAGGGAAGGCTTTGCCTTATGTCGAGCTTTTGTATCATTGTTTTTTTAAAAAAAAGAATGAGCACAAATACCAAAATCACAATTATTGGCCTGCTTGCAAGGTATTTATAATTACAATCTCTGGCTTCCAGAAGAAGGAACTGTTGTAGAATGGGTGTGTGTTCACACAGGTCTGTGCAAAGAAGGCAGAGGCGCTCTAAGGACACTCAATTTTAGCCTTTCCAGCTGCAGGGGGTCTCAGTCTCTGAGGACTGAGACACTCTCCCTTAGCAAAGGACTTTTTTATTGTTATCCAATTTACATCTTTAGCAAGTTCATTTCTATAGCCCAAAACATCTTACCTAAGCCTCTCAAAGTGACAATGCCAATTGTAAATTCTCGATCAAGAAATACCACGGTTTGCTGGGATTTTCCTAACCAAGTTGTGCATAGGCTTTGCACCTTTGGGAAACTCTTAGACATGGTTTGCGTATTTCAAACAGAAGGCGCTAACGACAAAGGGCAGATTAAAGCCAACATTCCAGAATCAAAGCAGCTGCGGTTCTGTAGGCCGTCTCCCTACAAGAAATTTAGATGAAGAAGTATTGGGATGGAGCCTGTAGGAATATTGAAAAGGCGTATAAAGGGAGTGGGGTGGGGGAAAATCGCTGTTTGATTTTGAGTCACTTGGCCATTAAATCAGACTATTATCAAAAATACGTAAGGAAGATAAAGGGGATGTTAATCGTGAGCAAGAATGACTAAGTCCGTGAGTGAATAAAAACTGGATGATCAAACCTTCAAATTAGTAAAAGAGGCAAAAATGAAGACATCCACCCCCCAAAATATCAGGAAAATTAGGAAGTAAAAGCAGAGCCACCAACATCTATGCTGGGCAATGCCTTCAACCTCCTTATTGGAGCCACTTTAGATGTGGATCCTCCATTGCCCGGAAATGACCCTGAAGGCATGGGATGGGGAATTTGATAATCAATCTAATCTTGAATTCCCTTCACTTCCTGGTGAGGATTTAGGAGCGTCTATGTAAATGCTAAACTTACAACCTAGACAAGCTACGGCAGAGCAGAGAAAATGAAATATTTTACCAATTCCTCCTGAACTATGCTTGGTATTTCTAGTGCAATGTCAACGAAATCAAAATGTTTATGAGGGATTAGACACAGATATAATGAAATATTTTTAAAAGGCTCGTGCTTCTTTTAGACCCACTGCTCCATATTGTGGTGAATATCTTTTTGGTTGGAACAATAATACAAAATGAGTTTTATATAATTGCTGAAATGGTTCTCAGCCCTTCCCAATTTCTTCAACGGCAAATGTGGTTTACAGATGAAGCCCCTTCAAAAGTTCGACAGCTAGGACTAAGGAGTGATACTGAAAATATAACGTATGAGAAGCTGACATGGGACTGGTAGATGGGTATCAATAGATCGTAGTATATCTCCTAACACCCTCCCACATGTTAGGAACACAGCTATGGCTGCTTGGATGGAAATTGATGGGCAAGTGGACTTCGGGTCTAGTTATATTAGAATCATACAAAGTCCCTCTGAGCCTTATGCTGATTCCATTGGGAGATCCAAAGATGCTATTGAGAAACAAGTAAAAGAGGAATAAATTCAAGAGTTATTATTTGAAAGGACTGAACAGGAGCCATAACAGGCTGCTCAGTCTGCCCTCAGATCAGACCTCATTTTCAGATTTCAGTTTCCTGAGATTAGACAAGTAGTTTCTGAGGAAGATCCACCAACAAAGGACAATCAATCTCCAACACCCGAAACAGCAAGGATGAGGAGGACTGGGGGCCAAAGTCATAAACAGCTCAAAGTAATATCCAAAAAAGGACAAAGCCTGAGACTTGTCTAGGCCTGCTCCAAAATGGAAAACTGTAGCTCTGACCAGCCCCTGACTAGTCCTGGCCAATCAGAACAATATGATTGCCACTTGCTTGAGCAAATCATATTCAAAATGATCGAACCGCCTTACGACTCCCCCTTAGCAGTGCTTAAAAGAAGCCCACACTTCCCTCTCCGGACTTCAACATCTTGCCTTTGTGTTGGATGGCAGGTCCCAGCACTCTGGAATAATAAATGTTCTTGTTGATTGCATACGTGGGTGGTGGTCTTATGTGGGAATTCCTCAGGACCCTAACATTATTAAAACAGCTGCTTTTGATAATGCCAATAAAGATTGCCAAGGAATTAATCAGACCTCCTGGAGAGGTGGGCAATGTTAGGGACTTTCTGAAGTCTTGTAGAAATATGGGGACCTACAAACATAGAGGGGCGGGGAAACAGAACTTTTTGAAACCTATGCTGTTCAAAGACAAATGTCAGCAAAATCTTTCAATTCCAGCTGTTGGCCACTTAAGGAAACAATGTAAATTGACCTTATAACAAATGAATGCTCAGAATCAATGAGTTCCTGTATATGCCCTAAATGCAAGAAAGGAAAACATTGGGCTAAGGAATGATGATCTAAATGTGATAAGAATGGCAATACATTGCCTAGCAACAATAACAACACCAGTAAAAAACAGGGAAAGGAACTGAGCCCCCCCCCCATTAAGCCCTGCAGAATTAGAGGGTTTAAGTCTAGAAACAGTAACATTTGTGTTAGCTTCAGGTTGTAATCAATCCATTCCTTCCTCACAAGCTGCTACTCAAAGAAGTACTGTTATTCATATTGCCTGCCCTAAAGATGTTGCCATTTCACCTTTTCAATATCCTCTTAAGTTATACACAGTATATTTCGGACCTATGCTGCCTGCAACAGGTAGAGTGCTACTGTGTCACAGTGAAAGGAATCTCATGCCTGTACAGGAATCATTGATAAAGTTTATATAGGGGAAATTACAGTCACCATCACAGTGCCCAATGATTAACAATTTAAAGCAAGAGGAAAAAAAATTGGAGTTGCTATTATTGCCTTATATAGTCACTTCATGGAACAATGCGATTCGTGGGGGGAGGATTTGGTAGTACAGATAAAATTGCAGCTTTAAGCACTGTTGAAGGAAAATGACAAACCATTATTGAATCGAAAATTAAAAGAAAAAAACATTTACAGGAATAATGGATTCTGGAGCTCATGTCTTCTATTATAAACATAGAAGAATAACCCACCAAATGGCCTGTTATGGAGGGAAATTCAACCCTATTTGCTGTAACAAGATTAAACAAAGTGCTATAAATTATAATGCATAGGTCTATGTTCTGTATGTTTTGGTTATTATGTGGCAGGGGGGTCTTTCTTTTTTTTCCTGGTCCAATTTATTTGGTGTTCTGTAAGTTTTTTTCTATTCCTTCTCTAGGTTAGTGTCTTAGTTAGGGTTTACTATTGCTGGGAACAGACACCATGACCACAAAACTCGTATAAAGAGAACATTTAATTGAGGGGGCTCACTTACAGTTTTAGAGGTTCAGTCAATTATCATCATGGCAGGGAACTTGGTGGTGTGCAGGCGGGAGGTGGTGCTGGACCTGAGAGTACTAAGTCTTGAGGCAACAGGAAATCAATTGACTCACTAAGTGGTAGCCTGAGCATAAAAAATCCTCAACACCTGCCCCCACAGTGATACACTGCCTCCAACAAGGCCACACTCACTCCAACAAAGCCATACCTCCTAATAGTGCCACTCCCTATGGGATTATGGTGGCCAATTACATTCAAACTACCACAATTAGGAAAATTTTCTTCTATGATTTTGTTAAAGATATTTTCTGAACCTTTGATCTGGGATTCTTCTCCTTCCTCTATTCCTATTATCCGTAAGTCTGGTATGTTTCCCGTAGGTTGGGAGGGGGTGGAATATGCTTACTAGTGTTGAAGGCCAGTGAAAGGGGAGGCCAGGGGAAAGTCTCAAGGATCCACAGGTGTGGACCGGGCAGAGGGGAAGCTGCAGCTAATGTTTTGTTGCAGTTTTGTTTCAGGTGACCCTGAAAATAGGTCCTGAGGTAACAGAGAATGTCGAAGGTCCCCAGGCAGACTACCTGGTCTTCTGGCAGCCTTGGCCTATGTCCTCTTGTTTCTATAATTAAAAAGAAATCTGATAAATGGAAATTGTTGAATTACAGAATGTTAATGCCACCATGTGGCCAAATGGGAGCTTCACAGCCTGGTTTATGTAGCAATTCCTAAAGATTGACCTTTAGTAGTTTTGAATTTAAAAGATTGTTTTTATACTATGCATATTCATTCTGATCATTGTTCCTTAAAGACCCACTGTTAGGTGTTGTACTCAAACTCTGAACCACCAAATCACCAAGAGACTCATTTCGATGCAAAAGCAAAGAGTCTTTTATTGTTTAATGAGTTAACCTCATTAACTCAGGCCCTGGTTTGAGAGGGATCCTGAGAAACCATGAGGTAGGGAACTTATTGGGCAGCGTAAGGGGAGTGTCTAGGAGTCTGCAACAGTCTCAGGATAGGTCCGCTTCCAAGCTTGGATGACCTGTCCTGTGTTGATTATGGCTTGTAGGCCCTCCCAGGGTGGTTGCTATGTTCTGCAAGTCACTGTTGTGCCGCTTGTATCATAAAGCACATGCCATTCAGAGTCCTGCCACCTAACTTCTGATTGGTTCCTTGTCACGAGGAGTGTATCTGACCTCCTTGTGACTAGGCCCAGCCCAGCAAAGTCAGACATGTGCTGAATCAGAGGCCTATATGTCTTCCTGTCATGGCTGCTAAAGCAGGGATCTGGTCC